TCCGCGAAGGTCATGCAGCTGTCCAGTCCTGCCAGCAGGGTTCCCATCTCTCTGCTCTCTGCCCAGCATTTCTTATTTTCTTTTAACTTTGCAATCAACGCTTGTGTGAGGTAGTATCTCACAGGGCCATTTATGAGTTGGAATCAACTCAAAAGCAGTACGTTTGTTTGTTTCTTTTGACTAAATCTTACTAACTCCTCAAATCTAATCCCAGAAACAGTAACTTTCAGAAAAGCTGTCTTGATCCCTCAGTACTTGATGAAGTATTCCATGGTTCTCATAGTTCCTGCTCTTTCCGAGTCGTAACTTTTATTATGTGGTATTATAACTGCTTCCACTAGACTGCTCATGGAAGAGAAGAGCTATGTGTTTCAGTGCCTGGTACCCAGACAGACTTGCTGACTGAGTGAATGCGTGGTATGATGGAGAAGAGCTGGTCGTTCCAGGAAGAGGAGAGGAGTTTTTATTTAGGGAAATCTATATAACAAGAAAGGGGCATTGAAACTTTTTGAGATAAGAATAATAATATATGGTATGTTCTCATGAGTTTAATTAAGTAATGAACCAGTACCTTAGAATTATTTTTTGAGTCTTATGGTAAAATTTCTTTAATACTCTTCAGTGGATGAAGCATAAGATAAATGCTTATTTTGTAAACTCTTTTGTTTTGAGATTATTTGTTTCCAACGTAATTTATAGGGAAACTGGGATTTGAATGAATGCTATTGCTTGAATTGAACAACTGTCATTAAACACAGTTAGTGTTTCTTATAAATGAAGCTGTCTTAAACTATGACAATTAAAAGATATGATTCAAATAAGCCAGCAATTTAACATATGTATGGGGGTTTCCTTTTATTTGTAGTTTAAAAGAAATAAATGCTTACAGCTGTGAATTTTTTCCCTCTAGTATCTCCAGAGGCAGTTGGATGTTTGTCAGCTGTCGGGGTGTTTATTATCTTGATGCTGCTCCTTTTTCTCTATATTAATAAGAAGTTCTGTTTTGAAAATGTTGGCGGGTTTCCAGATCTTGGCTCAGGATACAGTACAAGGAAGAATTCACAAGATAAAATGTGTAAGTATGATATCATTGCTTTTCTTTGTAAAAGAATGTTTTAGTCTCTGCTATTCTATTATTTTGTATGATTTTTAATATATAGACAATAAAAGGTTGATTTCCATTTACAGTAAACTAACATTTGAGCCACTATTATGTGAAAGTAAAATATTTACCATTAAGTAAATTATGCCAATTACATTCCTGTTGTTCCCAAATGGTCAATATATTGCATACAAATGAATTGTCTACTGTATCAAAACTGACATTTTAATATTTTATGTGTAGTGTATGCTTTTGAGTCATTGATATGGACAGATACATTTTAGGAGAAGAGGGTATCTTGATGCATATGTAGCTTAAATCCATTGTCCAAGTAGCTTCCTAGAGAGCTTTTGTCCCAGAGTCTCCCTAGGGCTTTGAAAATGTTTCCCCGCTTCCTTGACCTGCTGTTGAATTTCCAGTGGTGCCTGTTTTCATTGTTCCCCCGTAGTTCAGTAGAGAGAGTCTGAGTAGCGACAGCAGGGCTCTGTCTGCTCCCTTGGCAGCATAGGCATGATGAGTTTAATAGTCCTAAATACCATCATTATGAGGAATCTGATGCTTGCTTTCTCCTATGCAAAAATTTGCCTTTTAACTCGTTAAGAGTTCTTAATTTTGTATTTTTATAGAAATGATTACAAAAATAATTTGAGAATTACAAACACAAAGTGTTAATTTAGGGCTTTAAGGAATACGAACTAAGAAAGTTTTTTTATATGTGCATATGTTCAGGAGATACTTTTCTAGTGTGATAAATTAAAAGTTGACAACCTCATTGTTAGTAAAAATTGCAGTGGGATTCTATGACTTTGGAGTTAGAAAACTCTCTAGTACACTCTTGGTTTTGAATTGAATTTCTCATACTTCATTCCAGTTCTACTTTCCGATCATTCGTATAGTTAAAGATACTCATTAATGAGAAGCTCTTGGCTCGGCAGCATTTCGTTCTTTGGGTGCGACCGCAGGTCAGGACTTTGAGCCTGCAAGCCGCCCCGTGGTAGGAAGGTGAGGCTTCCCACTTGCGTGGAGATCTTGGAGACGCACAGGGCACTTCTGTCTGTCTTGGGGTCTGCGAGGAGTCAGGGTTGCCTTGATGGCGGTGCACTTGCTTTTGGGATGAAATCATTGGCATTTCATACATTTATTTATATTGGCCATGGTAGAAGTTAAAACTGAAAAAATGCAAAATTTTACATTAGTTTATTTTTTAAAATCATAAACATACTACATATTAATGTAGATAACATTTTAAAATGAAAAATCTCTATTTCCTCTATGAAAAAATGTTTGGTAAGAGGGATTATTTTACATTTTTGCAAACCATTTGTAACCTCTAGTGTAATAGAGAACAACTGCATTCTCATATTGTTCACATCTACTCTGTCAGGTAGCCCCCAGGAAATGTTGGAGCAAATGAGAACGAGAAGGGTACATACCACCTCCCCGTTCCTCTCCAGTCAATTCCCGGTCACATCAATCCTACAGGACAGAGGAGACCTGCTCCTTAGGGTTTCTGGGGCTGTAAATCTTTTTTCTTTTGCATATTACCACTTACCTGTTTTCAACAGCACAGCAGAAAGCATGCTTATCACTGTGCTGAGATGGATTTCAGTATTAAGTACAGGCACCCTGTTTTAAACTGCCAATGTGGCTTCTCCCTTTCTTACGTCACTTTATACTTTCTGGTGCAGAGATTAGTCTTGGTTCCGACATAAATTTGATTCAGTATTTCAGTCCCATGTGTTAGATTCCTGACTTGGGTTGGGTGAGAACCACTCCAATTAAGCATTAGTTGCAGGACTAAGACAAACCAAAACAGAACTGGGATAGTTTAATCCCTTGATATTCTTGCCAATACTGGATTGAGAAGTTAAGATACAGACACAGAAAATAACAGCAGGAGGGGGAAAAAAGATGAGGTTATTTCTTTGAAGCCAACCTTTCTTTAGAGTCATGCATAGCTTTTTCTGGAGAGAGATGGCTACCTCTTTCAAAGATCTTAATAGGTACATGATGCACCCCTTAATTTGAAGGCTAGCTATGAGGGGTACAAAGGAGACAAAAACCCCGAAGCCAAACCTACTGCCTTCGAGTCAACTCCGGGCGACACGGTAGAACAGGGTGGCACTGCCCCTTCCCGCTTCAGAGCCTTTGCGTTGTTCACGGGGCAGACGGGGAGGCTGTGAAGCGTCGTGCGAGAGATTTACCTCCTTTCCACCCATGGAACAGCCGGTCGGTCAAATAGCTGACTTTTCTGTTAGAGGCCCATTGCTTAACACACTGTGCCACCAGGGATCCTAAGTATCATCTTAGTAGATGCTGCCAAAGTAATTTTGACATGGACGATCTTTGCAAAGTGTCTTGGGGACCTGTCAACATTTTCTGAACCTTCGTTTCCATGTTCATTAGCTAAATAGGAATCATAATTATGTCCTAGAATTATGGTAAAATAAAGTAAGATGATACTTGTAAATCCAGTAACTTCTCTCTATTAACCACCCAGCATATGCTTACCCTCTTCCCTCTCTTATTCCTACCTCTTTTTAAAAGTGTTTCAATGGTTTCTCCTGAAACTATTTCCCCTAAATGAAGACATTTTCTCCTAATATTTTTCTTTGATTTGAAACAGTGCGCATAGTTAATAAGATAGAATAGTTCCCCGACATAAACTATTAACAAATAAATTAAAATTACATAATAAATCCCTTTTTATACTTCTTCCTTGCAGGTATAGAATTTAAAAACCCATAGTGTCTGAGGGGCAAGAGCTTGAGTTGCTGCTATTATGATAGCTATGGAATGAGAGAAAAAAGTCATTACATGTGAACAAATGGTTTGATTTGTTTTTCTCGACGAGTCTTTACTTCAACATATTTCTTCCAGTGAGTAATGCATTTACAGAAAGATTAAAAGCTACAGTGTGAAATACCATTATTGAGCTAATGAGTAGCACCATCCAAATAAATATTAAATCGAAGTTCCCAAATGGTTGATATTTTAATTAAGAAGAGAAAATTCCAGTATCACACCTTTTAGAAAGAAAGAAAGAATTAGAAAATGGCATTTTTCAAAAGTTTTCAGCCGAATCTGCCTTCGGTGTCCTCTCTAGTGGACACAATCAGTAGTGCAGTAGAAGACTTGACCTCTGCTGTCGGGGAGGTCAGCTACGCCCTAACTGACTCAGTTGCTGAGCAGGTGACAAGCATGATACATGGCTTTCGCCCAGAGGACGGAAGCGCTGCAGTAAAGGAAGCTGTAGATGCTTCTAAACAGGAAGACCTCCTATTACCCGAAGTCTCCAAAGATGCCAATTGTCAAAAGACACAATCCAATGTAGAACACAGAACAAAGCACATACATAACACTCACACTCCATGTGCACAACAGCAAGAACAAGATACGCATGAAGAAAGAGCACTGAAACATAGTACCGATAGGCAGCAGGCTTTACCGAGGCATCGGGAGCCTAAAGGTGCGGGCGATTCTCTGAAAGGCCCCATGAGTGCGGGGACATCTGCTCGCAAGCGGAGTGCACGGGCTGGAGCGACTGGTCAAGAACCGGACAGTGCTGAGCGATGTCACGATGCGAATTCTGGCCACAGAGTACACGGAGAAGTCCACGAACCAGTAAACCCAGGAAAATACTACAAAGGGAAAGGGGACACAAAAACCAAGAAAAAGGAAAGCATTTGGGCCAAGAAAGGGACAGCCTACAAGAAGGATGGAAAATATTGTAAGATAAGACCAGAAAAAGGTGAGGTCTGCAAATGTTGGTTTGAGTGATTACATTCCTCTTCACCCACCTGTGCCCCCACTGAGGAAATGGCATCCTCCAAATTCCTCTACTTTCCTCGGTATGTCTGTATTTCTCACTTCAGACTTGTTGTTGACTCCTCTTCTTGAGACATTTTTAAAGGCACGTACTTTGTCCTCACACGCACTTCAAGAATATGCATGCTATTCGCACAACCATAGGTACAACCAGGGTCCAGGTCAAACCTTTTTACTTTCTAACGTCTCCTCACTCTATGAACAGGAACTCCTTGGTTCTTGTAAGTCGTGTGCATGCTTCCATGGGTGTTGCTTTGATGTGGCTTCGATGCACGTTTGGCCCAAGCCCAATGTAACTCTTCAACTTAAACCAAAAAGAAAAGAGCAGGCCCACTGTTGTGGGGTCTCTTCTGACTCACAGCCGCCTCCCAGGGTGGGAGAAGCGCGTCGTAAGATTTCCCCAATGCTCTCTGCAATCCACGCTGGAGCCAGCAATCTCATCTTTCTCCTGACCGCAGGGGCTGCCGAGTTAGCCTGCAACCTTGTGGTTAGCAGTCCAGTGCTTAACCCCCTGGGCCACCAGAGCCCCTTCTGATCAGTTGAGTAAGAATTAAGGTATAGATGTTTTCAGTTGTTCCTTGACAGCAGTGGATTGTGTTACATTGATTACTATGCTTTAGTGTACATCCACCCTAATCAAAGGACCAGAAGCCCTAAAATATATATCAATGAAATTTATCTGTAAATCACAGGAATTTATGTCTTTATTTTGCTTGAAACTAACTCATGTGTGACAAAAGAATTTTAGTCAGTTTCAATTTAACTTTTTCTCCTTTTGCAGCCGCTGACATCCGTGGTTAAATCTGATGGGCAAGGAACCTGGCGGGTTAACATGTATCATTTTATTCACTCAGCCAATTATGGATTTTCTATGACTCCTCTGTGCTCACAATGAGTGTACATGAACAACTGATTAACATTCATGAGCTCTCTTTAGGGAACTAAGACTTTAACTAAACCTTTAGACTTTTCAGCCACAATATTTATGATTATTTTCAAAACAGCTGACTGGTAATTGGCTTTGGTTGTGGAATTGCTAATGAGTGCTAGTAATTAACTGCTAATCTGATCACAAGGCCGAAACGACACTGGTATTTATTTATAAATTGTATATCTGAAATTTTTCTGTAAATTCCACGAAAGAC